GATGCCATGGAAAAGGCGATGGCATTCTATGAAATACTGGATGTAAGTTTCGCTGCATCAGTTCATATATTGACATCCGAATCGTTAACTTGCTTATGCTGGAAACGAAATTACAGTTTTAGGCAGCCTTTCCATAGTAGGTTTTTCTTCCTTTTCTGTAGTTAAGAGAAATAGTGTCATGGAAACTTCCTAGACAGCACCTGAATCGATGCGAGTGTGTACAGTCTTGTCAGTTCTTCTCGGCTGATCACGTCAGAACTTTTCTGCAACGAATGATCAGCATTATCAAGGCTTGTTAGTCGAAGAAAACTTGTTCGTAGTACTCCCAATTTGTTCTGGTACACCACTGTCACTGCCTAGGGTTTGAACGTCAAACTCATACGGTTTTGAGTATCAGCATTTGATATTATTTTCTTTACTGTTTGGGTTGATTCCTGAAGCCTGTCCTGTCCAAGAAATCACATAACTTGTGAGGTGACAAAATGCCTAGCTTCATGAAGTACGGTAGAGTTACTTCCTTGCACCTTTTATGCCCAACGCTAAAGTTTCCCAACTCTGAAATGTTACGTTACTGAGGGTTCCTGCGATCCATTGAGTTTTATACACATTCGACTTGTTATCATTGAATACGGTGCCTGAACATCGGTTATTAACACACGGCAGCATTATCGGACAGAATGGCACCGAATATTAGATGTCATGTTTAACAGTTAGGAGTCGACGATTTGCGATTTAAAATAAGGCACAGTACTCCTTCGTTCATTCTAGTATTCAATGACCGAATGCTTCTAAGATTATTACAAAATACATTTAGACCCATTCAGGGTGTCAGTTTGAAATCAGTAGGTTTTGGCGTAGAATTGGAAGGTCTTATGATGCATTGAAGTACTGCAGTTATAAGCAAAGAGAGAGAGGCATTTCTTTAATCTCAGTCTTTTCAGATGGCACCCGCGTTCTCAATCATCATGACACATGACTTTGTTGATGATCAGATCCCTCTCTCACGTCTTGAAGCAAGAATTTTAGCATAGTCGATGCACTTAAGAAATATCAATCAAGAAAATTCGCACAAGTGCAACTCATAAGGAAAGGAGAAACACCTTCATGCTTTCAGCGCCATGCAGTTGCGGAATATCAGATATGGTTCCACAGAACTGTGATTCACTGTCTGAACTTCAAATGAATGAACTTCAACTGTTCATTATTCTCGATAATGGCATTCTGCTTATGGCCGCTATCTCGATGCATCCAGTTCAGTTTTTTCGTTCTTTTCACGATGGTTACTTTACGAAATGTTCTCTTGTGCTGAAGCAATCACCACTCCTAAAAGTCTTTTTTGATAATATCCTCTTGTTACCAAATCTGCCTAGTGCTCATTAGGTACCTATATGAGTGGAGTTCTGAGTAAAATAAAATATTACCTATTCGTTCGCAAAGTTCATTGTGAGAAGAGGATTAAACAATGTTTGTGAATGGAGGGTCATGTTTTAAATCTGTTTGATAATTATTGTAGCATTTATGACATAGGCACCCTTTTGTTTATCCAGGTGTTATCAGGACGTTATATCACTGTATCTAATGTCATCCATGTCGTTCGTATGTATTGTTTAGAATGCAAATAACATGATGAATTGGTATATATTCTTGTAGGCTATCATTCCCTGTACTTTCCCCTAATTTATATTCAGGAACTTTTTTCTCAGAAAAATCTGTCCTATATTTCACGGGGAGTTTTGTCAGGCGCGGTTGTCGAGGCCTTTTTAGCAATCTGTTTCGACATTCACAGCAGTTTTTTATGTCTTGTGTGCCTGAATATGTCCCAATCTTTGGTGTTGCCGGCTCTCCTCGACTAAGGCGCCGAGGTCAGATTATGGACTGCATTAATTTGTAATGCAATATTATAAAATGCAGTACAGCGTGATGAAGCATGGCACGGTCAAATATCTGAATGTTTTCAACTTCACTGCCTCCACACCAGGAATGATGCAGGATATTATCAGCAGTGCTGTATAATGTGTGTAATATAGTATGATATATCATAGTGTAGCGCAGTTTTGTATTTTATGTAACGAAGAATTCTGTGCTGTATTATTTAATTATATCTTCTCCTGGGTTATGCTATGCAATATTATATGCTGCTGCATATATTAAATTATGTGATGTCATAGTCTCCTTATATGTTATTAACAGAGCATCATGATGTAGACATTATAGAATAGTGTTTAAGTGCAAGTATAACTTTATATGCACTAATATTGTAGTGCAGTATACTTTGGAGTATGGTTTGCTCTGCGAATCACCGTCTTATATTTGATCCTCCATGCTTAAATCTGTATTTCAGCATGATAATAGGAAAATATTTGTTCAAGAGCAAGTCTGATTTTTCGTATTCGCAACGTAATCCGTCATGCCGATTACGCGAGTGATGTTATTTTTCTCTTCATTTTTGGTATCATCCGTCACATTTTTCGCCTCTTCTCTTCGTCATCCTTCTGTCAAACTCGCATGATCAAAGGATTTCGCAATGTTTTTATTGAAGGTCAAGAAGTGCAGTGACCCAAAATAACCTTCAGTTCGGGGATTAATTGATATATTCAATGGGCCTCATTACGTTAACTTTAATTGTTTGTATATTTCTGATTAATGTTTAAATTGCGAAATAATAATGGTATCATTGTTGTTTTTCAGAAAGCCTTGAAATGGATCGGTGAGGCGGAAATCAAGCTGGAGTCGTCGCCGACTTCATTTTCTGACTTGTTAGAGCTTCAGAAGCAGATCGACGATCTGGTCGAGTTCAAAGAAGACCTGGACAAGCATGCGGTGAAACTGGAACAGTTGAACCAGCAGGCGGCGACTTTGACCGACGGCTGCAGTCCTGATCAATGTTTGACCGTTCAACGGACGCTACTTGACATTAATAAGCGTTGGGACAATCTGTCACGCGGCATCCTCGAACGCCAACATGTGTTAGAGAAGTCTTTATTGCAGATGGGTCACTTTGAAGAGGCGCTCGACCAGTTGTTAGAGTGGATGACGAAGACTGAGAACGCCATCGAAGAAGTTCGACCTTTTCCCGGTGATCTGAAGCAAACCGAGATTGAGATCGCTAAACTGAAGGTATATAGAAACCGTCAAAGCAGTTTCTGTTGGGCCGATATCCGTGTCTGAAATTTAGGTGATTCAAAACGACGTTCTTTCGCATCAAGTAAACATCGACACCCTGAACGATGCCAGAACAAAGATGACAACAGCCAATGCATCGCAAGATGTTCTAGAAAAGCTGAATAACCTGAACAGTCGATGGGACGGCCTCCACCAACTGCTTTCGAGCAAAATGGACCTATTGAGAAACTGTAAGGCGGAAGCTGAAGCGGTCACTGACCAAATGCATGAACTGATGACGTGGATTTCGGAGACGGACTCGGCGATTTCCGGCAATCGCTCTTTCGGCGGCATCCCGGAGACGGCAAAGGAACAGCT